GTGACAATGCCAAAGTGGGCGTGGGGGGCGCATGCGGGCGGTCCCACTGGGGCCTTCGGTGGGGCTCCCTATTGGGCCACGAAGCGCAGTGCCGGGTGGGTGAAAATGCCGCATGGGATGTGGGGGGCGCATGTGGGCGGTAAGCGCTGTACTGGGTGTGTGAAAATGCAAGATTGGGCGCGGGGGGTGCGCGCGGGCGGTCCCACTGGGGGCTTCGGTGGAGCTCCTTATGGGGCCACGAAGCGCTGTACTGGGGGGGTGCAAATGCCACATTGGGCGTGGGGGGCGCATGCGGGCAGTTCCACTGGGGGCTTCGGTGGAGCTCCCTATGGGGCCACGAAGCGCTGTGCTGGGGGGGCGAAGCGCATGGAAGAAGGAGGAGGGAGGGGAGGAGGAGGAGGAGGAGGAGGAGGAGGAGGAGGAGGAGAGGAGGAGGAGGAGAGGAACGCAGGGCGACGTCTCTTCAAAACGAGGACCCAACACGCCTCTTCAAAACGAAGACCCAACGCCACAGGATGGCTGGAAATAGCACATATGGCGCCAGATGTCAGCATGGGCGGCCGTGGCCGACGCGCGTTCGCTCGACCATTCGCCCCCTTTTTCCAGCGCCGCGCCAAAGAGATCCGACGCCGCGAAACCCAGGGAGGAGAACAATTGAAGCCCCCGCAAACGCGCATCTCCCCGCGCGGCCGACGGACTGAACTGCGCCGAGCCAAGGCCCACGCGCCACGCGGACAGGCAGCCAACCGTCTCCCATCTGGACGGCGGCCCACCCGCACCTCCTGAATCCGGGCCAGGAGCCACGCGCCCCCGCCCCGTCGAAAAACGCAATGGGCGCCCTGGACCCACGCCTAGAGCCCCAGTCGCCCCAGAAGGTGGCACGGGAGGACAGGGAGAGGACTCTGGAAGGACTTAGGAGCCTGAGACCCTAAGCCACACATGTAAGCTGCCATTCCCCGGAAAATGCACAGCCCCTCACCCGAACGATCCCTTCTTTAACTCCTCAGACCAAGCAGATAGTCCTCGCGCGTGATCCTGCTCCAACATATCTGGGCAATCATGCAGCATATGATCCAAGCCACCATATGACGGGAAGCGCGCATAGACTCGAAGAGTCGGGCGATGGACGCTGCTGCAGGCCCGGAGGGGCATATTTTCAATGGGGGGGGGTCTGAGGGGGGAAGGGCTCGGGATACCTCTTTCATCAAGGCCTGGCGGATGACGCGAAGCGCGCATAGACTCGAAGAGTCGCGCGATGGACGTCGCTGCAGGCCAGGAGGGAAATATTTTCAACTGGGGGGAGTCTGAGGGGGAAGGGCCCGGGATGCCTCTTTCATCGAGGCCTGGCGGATGACGGGAAGCGCGCTTAGACTCGAAGAGTCGCGCGATGGACGCGGCCCCTCGGCTCGGAGGGAAAATGCGCATCACGTGGAGGGGTCCAAGGGAGGAGCGGCGGCGGGATCGGACCTTGACCAGGACATGGCGGATGACGGGGAGCGCGCTAAGACTCCTTAGAGTCACGCGATGAACGTGGCCCATCGGCCGGGGGGGGAAACATGCATCAAGTGGGGGGGTCCAGGGGGGGAGTGGCGGCGGGGTCGGGCATTGCCCGGGGCGTGGCGGACGACGGGAAGCGCGAAGAGACTCGAAGAGTCACGCGATGGACGTAGGCAGTATAAACTGGGGGGGGGGGGCGCGGGGCAAGAAACGCGCGAGGCCGCCTCTCTGTCGGAAACCTGGCGGATTACGGGAAGCGCCTTCTCGGAACGAGAAGTCGCTGGCAGTTTGTTAGGCCAAGCTTTCTAATAATAAAGAACTAAGACGCGAGGAGCCATGGCCGCCCGGCCGCGAATATTTTTCGCTCGGCGCATTCGCTTGGCGGATGACGGGAAGCGCCTTCTCGGAGCGAGAAGGTGGTGGGAGTCTTATAGAGGAAGCGTTCCTCAGTATATTTAAAGAACAGAGACGCGAGGGGCAGCGGGCTCGCGATTGGGCGGGGTCCATCGCTTGGCGGACCCCCCCTTGATAGCCGTTTCGTTCGAGACATCCTATAACAAATGGGATCTTGAAGGACTTGTTTTACGACGCTTCACGTCAAAAGTAAGGCTCCCGCTCGAGACATCCTCGAAGAAGTGAGATCTCCAGGGATCTTGCGAATTCGTCGAAATCTTAAAAATGAGGCTCTCGCTCGAGACATCCTCGAACACATGGGATAGTGGACGAGCTGCTTCGGGACGTCTTCAGTTCAAAATGGGGCTCTCGCTCGAGACATCCTCGAACAACGGTGATAGCCAGGGAGTTTGCGAAACGAGTCGGTCCGAGAAAAGCTCCAGAAGGCTCCAAGACTGTCCGAGAATGCTCCAAGACGGTCCAAGATACCCTATCATCATCATCGCCATGATCATCATGCTCATCATCATCATTATCATCACCAAGACGGTCCAAGAGGGGCTCAAGAGGGCTCCCAGAATCTCCAAGAGCACTGCAAGACGGTCCAAGATACCCTTCATCGTCTTCATCATCATCCTCGTCATCACCACTATCATCATCATCATCGTCGTCATCATCATCACATTGTCATCATCCTCGTTAGCGTCATCACGGTGGCGGGATGCACAGGACGCTAGTATATCATATGATGCATCATGACACTACATCCTCCTCCTGCTTTCCCCTTTTCTCTTCACTTTGTCCTGGGCCACTAAATCGCCATGTAACGTTGTCCGTGGCCACGGAGTCGCTATGGTACTTTGTCTTGGGCCTCGAAATCGCCATATAACTTTGTCCCGGGCCACGGAATCACCATATAATTTTGCCCTGGGCCACGGAATCGCCATATAACTGCGCCCTGCGCCACGGATCGCCATATAACTTGGTCCCGGGCCACGGCGTCGCCTCGAATGCGCCAGTGTGCACGCAATGGATCGGCTCTGCCGTCCGAGCTCTCTTTCGCATCTTCCCTTACATTCTTACTTTTCTTGAGGATCGGCTCTGCCGTCCGCTTCTTTAATTTCGCTTGTCACACAAGTGCGCATCAGAAAGGGTGACTATTTCGTTACAGTAGAAATCTTCCAAGTTGCTTATGTGGAAAATCCGGGCCCCCTCTGGTCCCCCCCTCGGCGCCCTCCTCCCCCGATGCGTTGTGTAGCGCAAGGTCGGTGCGAAGAGCTCCCCCGAACTGGGGTCTATAGCGCTCCAGGGCGTTGGGATCATGGGTGGCAATTGCAATTGTCCGATAGAGTGGTCCTGGACAATTGTGTTTGCATAACAAATTTGTAATTGCAATTGTCCGGAAGAGCTGCTTTGGACAATTGAAGTTTTCATCACCATTATAACCCCTCTTCAGTTACAATTGTCCGGAAGAGCCGTTTTGGACCATTGAGGTTTTGGGACGGCTCTTTCGTTGCAATCGTCCAGAAGATGTGATTCGGACAGTTCAGGTTACACGGCAGCTTTCTTATTGCAATTGTCCTGAAGAGCGGTTTTGGACAGTTGAGTGTGTTGAGCACCCTTCTGACCTAGTCCTCGTGGCGTGTTTGGGGTACGTGTGGCTTCTTCGGGGCCTCTTGGAGCCTCCTGGAACTTTTTGTGGTGCCTCCAGGCGGCTATGTCCATAACATCTGCGGCCATGTGACGTAGACATAAGGCTCAAGAGTGCGCAAAATCATTCATCCCTCGCTTGCTCGCTTGTGGCTTAGGAAGAATGTCTGTCCTTGGCTACAATGCTATGCCAAACTTTCTGGGTAGCTACTTGTTAAGCTTCCGTATGGTGATTAAAACGGCATGCGGATTAAAACGGCCACGCGGATTAAAACGGCCATGCGGGTGAAAACGGCCACGCTGGATCTAAGTAGCGTTCCGCGGCAAGGCGGGTTAAAACGGCCATGCGGGTTAAAACGGCCACGCGGGTTAAAACGGCCACGCGGGTTAAAACGGCCACGCGTGATCTAGGTAGCGTTCCACGGCCAGGCAGGTTAGAATGGCCGTGCCGGTTAAACCGACCACGCGGGTTAAAACGGCCACGCGGGTTAAAACGGCCACGCTTGATCTAGGTAGCGTTCCACGGCCAGGCGGGTTAAAACGGCCATGCGGTTTAAAACGGACGTCCACCGTACTCCCCCCCCCGCCCGCCCGCCCAGCACACACCCGGCACGCACACCGCACCCCCCCCCGTCCCAGCCCCCCCAGAACACATACTGCATACACGCGCACACGTAGGCACACATACGCACACAGCCGCACACGCACCTGCACGCGCACACACAAGCGCACACACGCACACACGCATACAGGCCACGCGCAACACTTGACCAAACCAACCAGAGGCAACCACTCAACACAAGCTACTCAGGGCAACCATCTGGGCGTTTAGGGAAGCCCAGCGACGGCCAACTCTGTAGTTTGGCGTACATGGGGCGAGAGGCCTGGAGCTGAACATGAATATGTTCCGTTTCCAGGCGCAAGGCTTCGGATAGGAGACGGAGGAGGGTGAGGCGAGATCTGGAAAAACTAATGTCAGCTCTCACGTTCGGGATAATATTGTCTGAAGAACCAGTGCGGCGACCGAAGCACACAAGGTTCACATCCTGCCCCTGGTGAACTGGATTGGTGTGCCGCTGTTCTGCCTGGTGCCCGCCCGTGGCCTCCTCGCGGGCGCCTCGTGCGCTGGGTGAATGTTTTTGTCGAGGCTTCGCCTGGTGCCCGCCCGTGGCCACATTGCGGCCGCCTCGTGCGCTGCGTGGATGTGCCGATGTTTTGCCTGGCGCCCTGGTGCCCGCCAATGGGCACCTCGTTCGCTGGGCGGCCGCACAGCTTGCACCACATGGCTTGCACCACATGGCTTCCACCGCACAGCTTGTACCGCATAGCTTGCACCAGAAAACTTGCACCGCGAAGCTTGCACCACCAAATTTTGCACCACGCAGCTTCCACATCCAGGCTGCAACAGCTCACTGCTTGGGGTCCATGCTGACAAGCATGCTCTTTGAAAAAGAGGTCTCCTCGCGCCAGGGCCCGAAGATGGGCCTGTCCTCCCCGAGGTAGACGTCGCGGGCCTCCCCAGGCGCCAGCCCGACGGTGGCCTCCTCGACCCAAGACCTGCCCGCGCGGACAAGCAAAAGACGCTGCGTCACCCCGCTCGTGCGAGGCAGCTCTGCTGGAGGAGCAGAATACAGCAGAAGCATGAACTTGCGGACGTCCGCGCGGATAGTTGGATCGGCGCTGAGCCCCCCTGCCCTGGCGCGGGGAGCGAGCTGGGGGCGGCGCCAGAGGCTCCGCCAGAAGGGGGGGGGGACATCGCCGATCCGAGAGATCCACGCAGAACTTCGAAAGGATATGTTTATGCTGTTTGTTCTTCCCTGGTCTGCAGAACCCGGCCTCAGGGTGGCTCTGCGATGCTCTGCTGCTTGGGCTTCGAGCGGCCGTGCTGCTGCTGCGCTGCCCCGCCCGCCCTCGGCTTTCCCCTGCGACCCCTGCTGCTTGTGGTTTCGCTGCTGGCGCTGGTGCTGGCGTTGGTGCGTGTGCTGGTGTTAGCTCATGTGCTGGTGCTGGTGCCGGTACTGGTGGTGCTGGTGCTGATGGCCGTTGCGGCAGTGATCCGCTGCTGGTGCTGCTGTCGTCGTCCTCCTCCTCGTCCTCCTCCTCCTCCTCCTCCTCCTTCTCCTCCTCCTCCTCCTCCTCCTCCTCCTCCTCCTCCTCATCATCATCATCATCATCATCATCATCATTATCATCATCACCATCACCATCACCATCACCATCACCATCATCATCATCATCATCATCATCATCATCATCATCACCACCATCATCATCATCATCATCATCATCATCATCATCATCATCATCATCATCATCATCATCATCATCATCATCATCATTGTCTGTTTACCCTCTTCCGCACACAATTTCACTCTCCTCCTCGTCCACGTCCTCATTCTATCTCTCTTCCTCTTCCTGCCTGGCCTCCTCCTCGCCCTGCACTCGTCATGCTGTCTTCCCCCCCTCTCTCTCTCTTTCTTCTGTCCTCCCTCCCCTCCGCTCGCTCGCTCCATGTCCTTCTCTTTCTGGACGCTGTCCTTCTGACCCAAGCACCCGACGTCGTGATTGTTCACAACACGGCTCCCCACAGGTCTGGATCGCTTCCCGGAACCCTCTTTTCATCCCAAGTCGTTTTTGTCGCCGTCCTGGGACCCAGTAGGGGCCCCTGGAGGCCGAAAACACTTCAAACCGTCCGCCCTGATGTCTTCCCGACGCGCGCAATGCTGACAGGGAAATCCGCCGACCTCTTGGGGTTCATCGGCGTGTGAGATGTTTTCCCCTCCCCAAACCCATCACACGGGAGCCCAGTCCGGTCGAGTCGCTTTGGATGGGGGGGGGGTCCTCAGGGACAGACCGAACGCGCCACGGGGGGACAGAGGGCCCCAAAACAAGCCAAAAGGGCACCAACAGGCCCTCTGGACGAGCCGCCGAAAGGTCGATCAACAACGCCCACGCTGGCCTCCAGGCGGCCCAAGGTCCCCACGACGCCCCAAGAAACCCTCAAGAGGCATCCCAAGACGGCCTCAAAGACCAAAACTCGGCCCATCCAAGGGAAACCTGCATTTTGAGCACATTCGCCCCTCCTGCGATCACAACATCTAAGACAGCCCAGGAAGCCCCCGAGGTCGCTCAAGACGGCCCTGGGGGCCTCCAGGGGGCTCTCAGACGACCCAAACGGACGAACAGAGGGCCCCCAAACAGGCAAAGAGGATACCAACAGTCCTTCTGGACGGTCCAAGGGGGCCACGAGCCGCCGAAACTTCTATCGAAAACGCACACGCTGGTCTTTAGACGACCCAAGAGGCCACCAAGACGCCACAACAAAAACATCAAGGCGCGTCCTAAGATGGCCTCGAAAAGCAAACACCACCCAAGCTCCATGGGAAAACTTGCAGTTTGAAAACGCCCGTCCCTCCTGTGATCATCGCATCCAAGGTAACCCAGGAAGCCTCTTGGGTCGCCTCGAAACTGCCCAAGAAACTGTCCAGAGGGCTTTCAAGCGACCCACACGGGGGGACAAAGGGCCCCAAAACAAACCAAAAAGGCACCAACAGGCCCTCTGTTCGGTCCAGAAGGGCCACGAAACGCCGAAAGGTCTATCGAAAACGCACACGCTGGCCCGCAGGCGGCCCAAGAAGCACCCACGACGCCCCCTAAAAGCCCCAAGAGGCGTCCCAAAAGGCACACCAAAAAACACATCGGCCCGTGCCCGTGGGAAAACGCGCATTATTACCACATCCGCGTCTCCTGCGATCACGGCGTCCCAAACAACCCAAGAAGCCTTTTGGGTCGCCCCAAGACGGCCCAAGAGGCCCCCCCAGAAAGCGTTCAGACGACCCAGACGGGGAGACCAGGGGCCCCCGAAAAAGCCAAGAGGGCACCAAACGGCCCTCTGGACGGTCCAAGACGACCACGAGCCGCCGAAAGATCGATCGAGCACGCCCACTCTGGCCTGGAGGCTGCTCACGATGCACACACCATGCACCAAGAAACCCTCAAGAGGCGTCCCAAGACGGCCTCAAATACCAAAGCGCTGCCCATGTCCATGGGGAACCTACATATTGAGCACAGTCGCCCCTCCTGCGATCACAACATCCAAGACAGCCCAGGAAGCCTCCTGGGTCGCCCCAAGACGACCCAAGAGGCCCACCAGAGGGCTTTCAAGATGACCCAAGCGGGGGAGCAGAGGGCCACAAACCCGGTCAAGAGGGCACCAACAGGCCCCTGGACGACCCAAGAGCCACGAGCCGCCAAGAGATACTTCGAAAACGCCCACGCTGGCATCCAGACGGCCCAAGGGGCCCCCAAGGCGCCCCCGAAAACCGTTAAGAGGCGCCCAGGACGGCCTCAAAGAGCAACGCGCGCCCCATGTACATGGGAAAACCTGCATGTTGTTGCAAAGTCGCGCGCCCTGCGATGACAACATGCAAAAACGGCCGAAGAAGCCTCACGGGTCGCCTCAAGTCGACCAAAGAGGCCTCCAAGAGGTTTCTCAGACGACCCAAGAGTGCCCCAAGACCGCTCAAAAAGTCCCACGACGGCCCAAGGGACCCACGCGGGCATTTCGAGCCTTCTGCCCCGCGCCGCCGCCCGATGGCCCCAAGCAGCCCCCGAGAGGCCCCCCGCGGGCTCCGCGAGGTGCCAGCCAAAAACTCCTTTGAGGCCCCCAGGGAGCCCCCAACAGGTTCAAAAACAGCTTCTAGAAAGCACCCGAGACGCCCCCCACGAGACCCCGTCCGCCATCCGCGCGGCCTCCGACCCGCAGCCCAGGCGCGGGTGGCGAGACGCGCCGAAGGCTAGTCGATGATCGTTCAGCTGGAAGGCGAACATGCGCCCACAGTTAGTACATGTGTATTATCGCAAATTCCCCTATGCAAGCGCAGGACGAACATTGCACTTAAACATGTCAGCCGCTGAAGCAGATGCTGCCGACGTGGGCTGCGCCGCGATTGCCGCGGGCCACGGGGGCGCGTTTGGCGAGCGCGCGGCAGATTGCCCAAGGGGGCCCCGGCACGCACCGCAACTCGCTCCGAGACCCACGCGGCGGCTCCAAAACGTTTCGCGACAGATGCCGGCCGAATGCGCATAGGTTCTCGCCCGTTTCCCCGCCCAGTCGTCGCGCGCCACAGCGGCCCAAACTGAATGTCAATGCAGTCCACGAAACGACGAGATGGTCCAATGTAGCCCAACGACGATCCGAGATCGCATCGACACGGCATCGGCCCGACCAAGACGGCCTAGGAATCGACCAGCGGAGCGTCGGAGGTATGACTTCTGGGCTCCCTCCGCTCACTTCGAGGAGAAGTACCGTTCATAATCTAATCGACATGGCCTGGAGACTAATCCACGGGCGCCCCGCCCGCCCCATCAGATCCTTCCCACTCCCTGCCCCCTTCAACCGCTTCCCCGACAAGCTTCTCCCAGGCACCATCCCAACCAAGCGTTCGAGGCGAGTGTAGCTCCAGCGACGCAGGCCCTCTCGCGGTCCCCGCGAAGTCACTGACTCAACCGCAAGCAACGCCCCACCAGCCCTCTGGGCGTCGGTGGGTTAGGGGGGCCCCTCGTTCAAGCCCCGGAAAATGATAGACCTCTGCTCCGTATTCGTGCGCGCCCGCCGCCTCGACCGACGGCCGACCCGAAGCGAGGGCGCCCCCGTCAGCCATCCCCGCCGTCGCAATGGCCCCGCCAGCCCTTTGGGCGCAAGTGGTCTAGGGCGGCCCATGTTCCAACCCCCATCCCCCCACCTTCGGGGAGGGGCTTACCCTCGGCCCCCATGATGAACCCCCCCCGCATCCCCACCCGCGAAGAGGTCGCCTCCAAAATCCCGTTTCCGAGCGGCAGCCTCCTCAGCAGAGAATAGGGCCGAGCCATCATCGAGCGCGGATTGCAAGGCGGGCGGCAGGCGCTCACTCAGCGGCGCCTGCCCCGACAGCCCCGCGGGAAGAGCCGCGCCCCCTCGCTCGAAGTTCACGCGTGAACCGAAGGCTGACGCGGCGCCCGCGCAGCCGGGCCGCGCGCCCTGGAGCGCCTGCCACGCTCCCAGGGAGCCCCCGCAGTCAGGCGGAGCGGCGCCCGCGTGCCCACACAGACGAGCGAGATGGCGAACAGCGGAGACCTGAGCTGAAGTCAGCAGAGCAGGCGTAGAGGAAGTAGAGCCCGAAGCCCCGAGCTCATTGAGAGCTCGAAGACCCTCGAACAGCCAGCCCTCCTCTGCTCGGCGACGCCGGGCGCGCCGTCGCTGACTCTGCGAGAGACCCGCGCCGCTCGCACCCCCCCCCCCCCCCCCACACACACGCAGCACTTCCGAAGCCGCCGCCGAGGAAATGGGCGGGGCGCCCCGCCGCCGAATCTTGCGAAGCTTGAAAACACCTCAGAGCGGCCACCGCCCGCCGAACCCTGAACTACACGGCCGGCCCTCGAGAAGGCGGGGCGTTCCTCCTCGCGTCGGCGCAAGACTGCGTGGAGGTCGGCCGCCAGGCTCGCCCCCCCTCTGCGTCGCCTCTCTTCCCCTCGGCGGCCTGCTTCGCCCGCGGGGCGTCGACGCCTTTAGTCAGCGC